GATGAGTCTCTGGAGCCAAGGCCCCAGCGCCAGGCCCCGAGGGAATGGCCTCAAGCTGCCCAGGGCAGGGTCAGGCTGGCTCTGAGGAAGGATTTCTGTGCAGAAGGGGCTGTTGGGCGTTGGAATGGGCTGCCCAGGGCAGGGGGGAGTCCCCGGGATCCCTGGAGGGGTTGAAGAGTCGGGCTGAGCCAGCGCTGAGGGGTCTGGGGGAGTTGGGAACGGTCAGGGGGAGGTTCATGGTTGGACCAGAGGATCTTTGAGGTCTTTTCGAACCGACGTGATTCTGTATTCAGTTTTTGCGTTAATTTTTCTCTTTTCATCCCCCTGCTGGGGGACGGCACAAGCTCTCTTCCCCAGAGCAGCAACCTGGAGGCTTTGCATCCCAGGGATCGCTGTGTCTCCCCAGCAAGAGTGTGAGCATCGCCAAAACCTTGTTTTGTTTTCCTTCCCATGTGACAGAGAGGAAAGAATTGCAAAAGAAGCGGAAGAAGAGCAAAGGCAGAAGCTAAAGGCTGTGGAGAACAAGGCCAAGATCATGGAGGCTTTCCTGAAAGAGAAGGAGAAGGAAGTTCTCCAGCTGCAGGTAAGAGCAGTCAGCCGTCCCCGCGAGGGATCTGACAGCAGCCTGGGGGAGCCATGTGGAAGCTGTAGGCTTATTTTCCAGAGATTTTGATGTTGGTAGCTGAGAACACAAATGTTAGCACCTTCCAGGAGTGTTGACAGCGTGTGGATGGGATAGAGGTTGAGTGAGAGCTCTGAAAACAGGGTGGAATAATCCTGAGAGAGAGAATAAAGGTTTTTCTCCTTCGGGATTGGGCTCCTGGTGGCATCTGGGGGCCTCTGGGCAATGCGTGAGCTCTGCAGGTGCCAGCAGCTCGTAGTGACTCGTCTGCCCACGTGTGTTAAGAGCTGGTACTTGTCCTTGGTTCAGGAAGAAGCCAAAACCTTCATCACTCTTGAGAACTTGGACGCGCGGATCGAGCAGTGCCTGGACAACCCTCGCAACTACAACTTTGCCATCGACAAGGACGGGCGCATCGTCAAACGGACGGTGTTGACTTAGCGGCCCCGACCAGGGACAGGGGGTGCTGGCCTTGGTTTCTTTCCAGAAGCTCTTCTCTTAAAAGGTTTCTTTTTTTCTTTTTTTTTTTTTTTAATGTATAAATCGACCACGGATTTGGTGGAGAAAAGCCGACGGTCTGGCTGTGGTTCCTCTGAAGCGTTAAACGCCTGCGGGAAGGAGGGGGAGGGAGAAACTTGGGCAGAGGCTGAGAAGCTGCTGGTGTTTGTGTGCTGGTCGCAGTGACTCTGCCGTTCCACCTCCCACACGAAGCGTGTGGAGGAGGGAAAAAGGAACAATCCCCAAGGCAAATCCTGGCTCTGGGCTCCCCTGTGTTCCCCGGCACTGTTGGCGTCTCGACCCCTCTAGATGCTTTTGAAAGAAAACATGATCAGAATGGCTTTGTAGGAAACCCAGCCCTGCTGCTTTTTGTTGTTGGGGGGAAGGAATTGGTCGTTCCTCAGGTTTCTGCTGCAGTGGAGGGACCTGTCGTTCCCATTCACATTTTAAACCCTCCTTTGCACAGCTCTTGCTGTGGCTAAATGAGAAGATGTGCAGAGATTGTCTGAATGATACCAGCTTTTCCGTGTCTCCTTTTCCCCCCCTCTTCAGATATATTTTATTCATCACCTGGGGCTTAAGTTGGAGATAATACTGTAGTTACTCAGGTCCTCTTGGGCAATTCTGACTTACTCAGGTCTTGCAGACTGAGTTGTATTCTGAGCTTTGCCCCAAAACCTCTGTTTTTGGGCTGCCAGACACCAGCCTGGAGTTTACTGTGGTTCAGCATGAGCCTGGACGGTCTCACCACAGGTCCTTCTGCCCAGTCTCACCGAGATAAAACACCAGCTCTAAGAATTGACCTTAAATCCTTGCTTTTTACCTACGCTTTCCTAAAAATGGCTTTTTCGCTCCACCCCGGCCCTTCTGAGTCTGCACCTAAACCAGGCAAGCACATGAAAAACTCAAGACTTTTTTTTTTCTTTCCTGTACAAGTTTTATTTCTCATTAAGGTCATCTCTTAAATCCGAGTTGCAGACCTTGGCTCGTCTGTTCTCAGCCTGGTACAGCTCGGTAGAGATGGGATCCTGGAGGTTCTTCTCTCCTGGGTCGTTTAAGCAAACAGCATTTCTTGGTCACAGGAGGAGTCGAGCACGCAGCCCTCTGCGGGGGTAGAGAATGGGGAGAGCGCTGTGTGAAAAGAGAAGGCACAGACCAGCCCGCCGAGCCCCACCCCCCAAAAGAGTGAGATCGTGTGCTCAGTGCCCTCTAGCTCCCCAGGATTTGTTGCAGGATCTCTGGTAGCATCTGAGTTGGGGAGGAGGGTAGGATTTTTGAAAAAACAATACAAGCAGGAGGGGGTGCTTGATCAGCCCCTAAATTTGGCTGCTGGCCTCTCACCCCAAAACCTCAGTCTGTTTTTACTCTCCCTGGGGTCTGCCCTGAGTGGGGCAGTTGGGGAGCAGGATGGAATAGACAGACAGGACCAAGAAGGTCCCTTGGGTGACGTCCCCTCTCCGACTTTGATATCAGAACCCTGAATTCCCTCTGGTGCCCGAGGAGGACGCGGCGCTGCCCTCACCGCTGCTGCAGCAGAGGCCGGGGGCTGCGCAGCTCCCTCCGCTCCCGCCACAGGCTTTGTGCCCCGACTCGCAGGGGGTTGGCAAGAAATTTTCTTCCTGGCACCGCAGCGTTTCGGAGGTGCCGATGTAACAACCCAGCTCTTCCCCGCAGCAGATGTTGGGACCAAAGCAACGACCCTTGTTCCTGGGGCCGCAGGGCATGCACTGTGTGGGGAAAAGGGGGAAGAAAAGTGTGTGTGGGGAGTTATTTGGGAAAGCAGCTGGGGATAGGTTGAGCCTTTCCCCTCATCCTTCCACCGTACCCCCCAGGAAGGTTGGGAGAAGGGAAGGGAGTGGGGTAGGAGGTTTTGCAGCCCCCCCAGGACGTACCTTCCTGATGTCCATGTCCAGGACGGCGCGTTTGCCCCCGATGGGGCAGTTCTGGATGTAGCAAGCGGAGGAGAGAGCCAGGAGCCCCAGGAGGCAGAGGGCGAGCGCCTTGCAGGGCATGGCTGCGGGCCAGGAAGCTTTTTGGCGTCTTCCCCCCCCGGCGAGCCGTCGTGTATATATAGAGCACCAGCTCCTCCTTACACACGCTGGCACCAGCGTCACCCGTTTCCCTTAAAAACCACAAGGCATTGCTTTCCACACCTAATAGCCGGAGGTCGAGGACGTGAGGTCAAGGCCAAGGGCTTGGTTTTCTCTTTGGTGACGATTGTGGAGGCTGCGGATGCTGCTCGGGGCTGGGTCCTGTCTCTGCCAACCCTTGTCCCACTGGTGGGGTCGGGTAGGGATGGAGGTGGGTGTTTCTCCCGGGAGTGGGGCGAGCAGGGGAGTTTGTGCATCCCTGGGCTGCAAAGCCCTTCTGGGGAGGGGGGAAACCAAACCTGTATCCTCCTCCAGGAGCAGCTGCAGGGCGGGGAATTTTCACCCATCTCTGCCTGCCTTTGGGGGGATGCTCAACACTGGGGTGACACAGAGCCCATCCCTGCCTGCTTTCATCTATCAGCAGCCTGAAAAAAACAAACTTCAGCAGCAAAGGCCTGAAAACTCAAATTTCCCCTTGTTTCCACCCTGAGGCTGCACCCAGGGCTTGAACGTGAACAAAGTTCCACCATTGTTTCTGCCCTAGGGCTGTGCCCAGGGCTTGAACGTGACCTGATTTTCCTGTTTTTTTCTGCTCTGGGGCTGGGTCTGGGGTTTGAACATGACAAAAATTCCCCCTTGTTTCTGCCCTGGGGCTGCATCCAGGGCTTGAATGTGATCAAATTTCCCTCTTGTTTCTGCCCTGGGGCTTGAATGTGACCAAATTTCCCTGTTTTTTCTGCCCTCGGGCTGCGCTCAGGGCTTGAACGTGATGTGCTGGGCCACGTCAGCTCCAGACAAAGCCCCCCCGGGGAAACAGCACCGAGGATGGGGCTGAAGGCTGATGTGGTCATGCAGAGTCCTGCTCACCCCGACCCCTCGCCTTCGTTACCGCAATTAAGAGCTTCCCACCTTGAATAAATTCCTCCGCTGCGGACGAGGCATAACATCCGTGGAGACGTTACCCCGCTCCCTCCCCGCGCCTGCTTAATTGGGAATTAGGCAGCCCGGAGCCGGAGAGCAGTGACCTCTGCTCATCCTCACGGCCTTGCTTCGAAATTTGTCACTTAGTATGGCGGCAGGGGTGGGGGGTGAGGTCCTTGTCACCCTCCCGGGGTCAGGTGGGTGACAAGTCCTAATCCCTGGGGACAAGCTGGGCGCTGGGGTCCATGTTAATGGGTTGGAAATGGGGCTCAGCACCTGCTGTCTGATGGCTCAGCGGCTCTACCCTGCCTGTGGGAGTGGAAAATCACCATCTCAGAGCCCCTGTGGCCAGTTTGGGGGCGCCCAGACCCCCGTGGGTGGGGTTGGGGTGCATTTTGGGGAGAGAAGTGTGGAGAAAAAAAAAAAACAGTTATCAGTTCCTGGTGTTTTTTGGCACCACGACACCCCAATGTGATGGCTCCTGTCAGCCTGGAGCATCATCCCTGCTCAGTGACATATCCCCGCTGCTGCAGGAGATGTTGGGGTTCACATCCTGCACCCCGAAACAGGCCGAGTGCCAAGGCTGGGTTTAACAGCTCAATTTTTTCGTCTCACAGGCGTCCAGCTCAGGGTCACCCATCCACATTGGCACTGCCCCTTTCCCAATTATTTTTGGGGAGATTTTGGGGTCCTCCCCCCCACCTCCCCAGGGCTGGGATAAGCTGCTCGTTGCGGGGAGCAGGCGCTGGGCTCATCCTGCACCCCCCTTTGAGGCGTGGGGAGACGCCGGGGGCAGGATGGGTCCCGCTGGCGCGGAGGAGCTCCACCTCCCCGGAGGTGCCACCTCCCTCGGGGACATTATAAAGGACGAGGTGTCCCTCGCGCTGTGGCCAGATCCCAGCCCGGAGCAGGGACCCCAGCAGGGTAAGAGACCCGGGGAGAGGGTTGGGGTAACGGTACCCCGAACTGGGGGGGTGATGGTGGAATAACCGCGGGCTGATCCTGTCCATTGGGGTCTGGAGGGAACCAGTTTGGTGAGCGGTGGAAGGGAAAGATGAGCCCAGCCCTGGGGGCTGTGTGATGTTGGGAACCCAAACCTTTCCGCTCTTAGGGTTTTTTTGGGTGGTTTTCCTTACTTTTTATCATTTTTACTAGACGTGGCTTGAAGCTGCCTGTTGTCCCGGTTCCTGAACGCAATGAGGCCCCAAATCTGCCACAGAAGAGGGGTCTTGGCCAAGAGGTAACACGATGGTGACACATCCCAGCCATCCCCCATCTCCCGGGGCTGGAGGTGCTGAGGAGGGGGGTGCTCAGCACCCAGGGGTGCTACCAGAGCACCTGGGGTGGGACTCGGTGGCCAGATCCCAAAGGCCAGCTCTGCCTGAGCTTCTTAGCGCTGTGAGGACGGGGCCAAATCCTGCACCCAGCCCAGCAAAACCTCTGCGGAGGCGAGCTGAACCCCACAGGGCTGGGTGGGAGTTTGGGGGGGGGATAAAGACCCACCAACACTGGCCCCCCCCATCCCCAAGCCCAGGATGGGTCCCCTGTTGATCCCAGACTAAGCCACCACAGTGCACGAGGACTTTTATTGGGTCTGGTATTTACAAGGCTGGGGTGAGGGAGGGTCGGTGAGGGTGAGGGGGGGACGCCCGGCGCCCCAGTTCAGAGGAGGGGGTGCTTGCCCTGCTGCTGCTGCTGCTGCCGGTTTGCCAAGTGCATCAGCTTGAGGAGCAAATCTCCAGCCGAGCCGTCCAGCACCGTCAGATTCTTCTCCGCCGTCTCCTGAGCCCCGTCACCGCCCTCAGCCAGGCAGCCGGCGTCCATCGCACAGGTTTCTCCAACAGAAAACAAAGTGTCAGCACGGGATGGGTGATTGAGGGCGGCGAGTGGTTTTTATTTTCAGGTGGGGAAGGGGTTGGAGGCAGCTGGGGGGGGGCTGCACACAGCTCGCGCTCCAGCTTTGTCCCCGCCATTAACCAGGGAATGGGGCTGGTGGGGATTTTTCAGCACATCGCGGAGGCTGCGTGTGCCTGGCTGGGAAATACCCCATGGTGGAGGCTCAGGAAGGAGCTCTGAGCCCGATTCTTGTCATAGAATCACAGACTCGTTTGGTTGGAAGGGATCTGAAAAATCATCCAGTGCCACCCCCTGCCCCGGGCAGGGCCACCTTCCACCAGCCCAGGTTGCCCAAAGCCCCGTCCAACCTGGCCTTGAACCCTTCCAGGGAGGGGGCAGCCACAGCTTCTCTGGGCAACCTGTGCCAGGGCCTCACCCCCCCTCACTGTAAAAAAATTTTGCCGTGTATGTATCCCCAAATTATCCCAAAATGGGGAAAAAATGCTGTGGCTCCGTGCCTCAGTTTCCCCTTTGTAAGGCGAAGTCTAACTGGAGGACCAACGCATGCCACATGGCCCCAAAACACCCCAAACTCTCCCTCCCGCTGACCCCGACTCCTACCCCCAATATTACCGGGGGTGCAGCAGATGCCGGGCGCGGCGCAGCGGCCGCCAGAGCCGCAGGGCTGCCCGCCGGCCTGGCAGGGTGAAGGCAGGTAGTCTTCCTCGGCGCAGCGCTGCGTCTCCGCCGTGCCCAGGTAACAGCCCAGCTCCGCGCCGCAGCAGATGCCAGGGCCGAAGCAGTTGCCTCTGTTCCCGGGGCCACAGGGCATGCACTGGGGGAAGGAGACACTTGAGTCCCTCAAACCCCACAAAAAAAAAAGAAAAAAAAAGGGGGTACACCCTGCTTGCACCCCCTGTATTCTAAAGCAGCCCCCCCGAACTTTGTCAGCCTTCGGGGTGCCACGCCGGCACGGGGTGACCTGTCTTAGAATCCCAGAATCACTCCGGTTGGAAAAGCCCCTCGGGATCACCGAGTCCAACCCTCAGCCTGACTCTACAAAAGTTCTCCCCTACCCCACATCCCCCACAGCTCATCCCCACGGCCCTGAACCCCCCCCAGGGATGGGGACTCTCCCTCCCTGGGCAGCCTGTTCCACTCTCGGACCACTCTGTCTGGGAAACACTTTTTCTTAATGCCCAGTCTTTGTGTCTCCGGCAGCGTGGCCTCGGTGCTGCGGCGCTGGCCCTGCTTTGGGGGCTCCCAGCTGCCCCCCACGTCCTCCCTGTCTCTGCTCCACGGGGGTGTCTTGTCCCCCCCACGGGGATGCTGTGGCCGAGCCCCGTCCCCTCCCTGAGGTGACAACCTGGGGTGTGTGGGGGTATCACAGTCCTCCACCAGGTGCCCCTGGGCATGTCCCCCAGCCCTCCCCCAAACCAGGGTGCACTGTGCTGCTCAGGGGAGCACAGCACAGCCAAGAGAATCCTCTGCCCCCCACAGAGCGCCTACATCCCCCCAAAAGCCCCATCCCGTCCGCCCCAAAGCCCCAGCCCATACCTGTCGGAGGGCTGTGTCGGCCAGGGCCCGCTTGCCGCCCCGGGGGCAGTTCTGGATGTAGCAGGCAGAGGACAAGGCGAGGAGGCAGAGGAAGGAGAGGGGCAGCGAAGGCTCTGCCATGGTGGAGGGTGCCCGCCGCCGTGCCACGCGTGCCAGGGGAAGCCGGCCGCTCGCTTTGCAGCTGGCCCCGTGCTGCGCCAGCCGCTATTTATGCTGCTGTCGCCCCTTCCCAGGGGAGGAGGAGGAGGAGAAGGAAGAAAAAAAGAGGGCTGGGTTGTTTTTTTTGTTGTGCGCTTTTTTTTTCCCTTTTTTTTTTTTCTTTCCCTTTCTTCCCAAATCGCATCCAAGTGAATCTGTAATTGAGGTGATTCAGTGCAGGAGCGCAAGCAGCAGAGCTCAGGGCTGGTGAATCCCACCTCACCCCTAACCCCAAGCTGTGGCTGCTCCGAGGGGTGTGGGACACCCCGGGGATGGCCACTCCATGGGGAGGGGTGCTGGGCCGGGAGGGTGCGGGTTTGGGGCAGGGGGTGCTCTGTCTGAAGGTGCTGGTTCAGGAGGGATGTGGGTTTGGGGACAGATGCTCATACAGATGCTGGGCTGGGTGGGATGAGGGTTTGGGGAGGGTGCTGGATTGGGAGGGTGCTGGATTGGGTGGGAAGCGGGTTTGAGGAGGGATGCTCAGTCAGAAGGTGCTGGTTTGAGAAGGGATGGTGGTTTGGAGGGTGCTGGTTTGGAGGGTGCTGTTTTGGAGGGTGCTGGTTTGGGGAGGGGGTGCCAGCTTGGGACAGGTGCAGGTTTGAGTGGTGCTGGTTTGGGAGGGGATGCTGTGGGCGGGGCGGGGGGG